GGTCCCTGAACATCCAGAAAACTGTCCTGAACTGTTAACACTAAGGGATCAGAATATTTGTTGAGACAGAGGCATGGGCAATGGCAGTAGAGATATTTAAGGATGAGTTTCGCGCTCTTAGGTTTCCCGACCTAAGCATATGACACAACTGCCTTTCTCTCTGTAAAAATTACCTTAGCATATTTTGGATTTTTCCTTATGTAAAGTTGCAACTTTCAGGTACTATCTGCATTTGATGACTGGCTGTGTGGACCATTTGTGTTGTTACTGGGAAAAATTCAAGAGCCCAGAAAGTCACATTGGAGAGTACTACCTAAGCCTCCAGTGAGTGCCACTCAATCTTGCTTAATTTTTCCCAAACTGAGAGTCCCCTTCCCTTCTGCAGTTTCACAAAGGACTATTTTTAGGCTTGTTCTAGGAGGGTGTGAACTAAAATACAATTTTAAGTTTCAACCCCCCCCCCCACCGGCTCACTGAATGGACCTCCTCCTGGCCAAAGAAATATCCTAAAACTAAATTGACTGCCAGGAGGAGGGAGGTCAGATATGCCTCATCATGCCTCCTCCCTTCTTGGGGACATCCTTTGTAACCCATTCACAGGCCTAAGGGCATGCAAGACAAACCTGCAGGTCCTCAATTTACACAACAAATGTACGTCTGGGTGGCTAATCTCAGATTAAGAGCTTCTTAACTTAAAACATGCAAGTCTCTAGACAAAGCTTCTTGTCTTTAACCAATTACAAGTGAAAGAAGTTTTAAATCCGCCTATAAGCCCCCCTTGGAGATGGCTCACCTTTTTGAGCCCAACCAATGTATGCCTCCCACATACTGATGTATTGATTTATGACTTTACCACTAACCTCTGTCCCCCTGAAATGTTTGAAACCAAACTGTAACCCAGCCACAGCGAGTCCACTTGCTCAAGGCTTCTTGAGTGTGGCTCCGGGTCATAGTACTTGTAAACTAAAATGCTCAACCCCTACCGGCTGACTAAATGGACCCCCTCATGGCCAGAGGAATATTCAAGGGCAAAGTTGCCTGCCAGGAGGAGGGAGGACAGACATGCCTTATCATGCCCCCTCCCTTCTTGGAGACTTCCTTTGTAACCCATTAACAGGCCTAAGGGTATGCAAGACAAACCTGCGGGCCCTCAATTTGCAACAAAATGGTGGCTTATCTCTGGTAAACAGTTTATGTTAAAACATTCCAGTCTTTAGACAAAGCTTCATGTCTTTAGTCAATTACAATCTAAAGAATCTTTAAACCCACCTATAACCTGTAAGCCCCCCCCCCCTTTAAGATGGCCCTCCTTTTTGGGCCAAACCAATGTATACCTCCCACACATTGATTGATGGCTTTACCCATAACCCTTGTCTCTAAAATGTATAAAAACCAAACTGTAACCCAGCCACAGCGAGTCCACTAGCCCAAGGCCTCTTGGCAGTGGCTCCGGGTCATGGTCCTCAAATTTGGCTCAAAATAAATCTCTTTAAAATTATTTTACAGAGTTTGGCTTTTTTCCGTTAACATACTCAAATTTGGCTCAGAGTAAATCTCTTTAAAATTATTTTACAGAGTTTGGCTTTTTTTTTCTGTTAACAAGGGTAAATGATACTAAAATTTTACATGGCTACCGCAAGCATTCAGTGATGGTGACCAGAATATATGCAGTGACCACAAGACCCTACACTTGACTCTTTCAAACTCCTGACCTCGAGAAATCCGCCTGCCTTAGCCTCCAAGAGTGCTAGGGTTACAGGCCACCGTGCCCCGCCTTGACTCTCACCACTGCTAACTGGTGAATGTGCTGTTTTCACAGCCTTGATAGGTGGGTGCTTTTCAAATTGCATGCCAAACAGGCCAAATTTGATGACATATCATGTTAGGGCATAGTCAATTGACTATTCATGTGTACGGGATGAGAGTGTTTTAGTGTGAAAAGAAATTACAACAAATAATATTGACAGCAGTCATTACTTACATATACTCATATCCAAAAGGAGGAAAGTGCTATAAGTTTTGCAGGCTCACACACAGAGTGAACTTGGGAGTAGAGAGAACAAACAGGAGGTGTTATGGGAAGGCTGTGTAGTATCAAGAAGGTGAGATGCTCCTGGATTCCCACAGAAGAATGCTATTGGTTTGTCTGAAAAATTATCTGGGCTGGCAGGGAACTAAAAGGCGTTATACCACAACAATTAAGAGTATAATAATGTACCATAATACTATAATGCTGTAATGTATCATGTACTATCTATGTTAACTACTATAAATCTTCACTTATGAAAAACGTGAAGGAGCTTTCTACTCTTTTCAGAAACAATACTAAAAAGCACAACATTGCCTATATTATTCATTCAATTTGCAATGAGCTTTATCCAAGGCAATTGAAGGCTGAAGAAGAAATGGAAACAAATATGTAAGACCCTATTTGCGGCTGGGTGTGGTGGCTCATGCCTATAATCCTAGCACTCTGGGAGTCTGAGGCAGGTGGATTGCTTGAGGTCAGGAGTTCGAAACCAGCCTGAGCAAGAGCGAGACCCCCGTCTCTACTATAAATAGAAATAAATTAATTGGCCAACTAATAAATATAGAAAAAATTAGCCAGGCATGGTGGTGCATGCATGTAGTCCCAGCTACTCGGGAGGCTGAGGCAGGAGGATTGCTTGAGCCTAGGAGTTTGAGGTTGCTGTGAGCTAGGCTGACACCAGGGCACTCACTGTAGCCTGAGCAACAAAGCGAGACTCTGTCTCAAAAAAAAAAAAAAAAAAAATTAAAAAAATAAAGAATTCCTGAAATATATGAATAAAGACTTAAACAAATGGAAAGTTACATATTATTCTTGGAAAGAAAACCTCAATAATATAAAGAAGTCATTTATCTATAAGCTAACTTCAACATTGTATTTGATCTCATAATAGATTCTGTCAGGTTTTTTCAGCCAGCAATGATTTTGCAAAGTGTCCATGGAAGAACAAACATATAAGAATTGCCAAAATCCCTGAGAAATAAACACAATGAGGATTTCTGATCCTATGATAAATTAAAACACAGTAAAATGTTCTACAATTAAAGTAGTGTGGTGTTGATGCAAAAATAGGCAAACAGATTAGGACAGTAGAAATTTCAGAAATGTGTCAAAGTGCATAACAGAAGGTAAGATATACAATAAAAACTACAGAGGGGGAAATGTAATTAATATTTGGTGTTTGGTAAGTGCATATTCCTAAAATGATGAAAATGGATTCATTCTTTACACACGATAGTAAGATAAATGACAAAGAAGAAATGTAAATTGTAAAAAAATTGAAAACATACAACTAATAGAAGAAAACATTGGTAAATATTTTTACAAGCTGTGATTAAAAATCTAGTATATTACTCAAACCAAGAGATGCTAGTAAGAGAAAAGGTTACTAAAGCACACAATGTAAAACCAGAATATTGTGAATGTTAGGAAGCCCCATAAGTAAAAAGGAAAATGCCAAATGGGACCTCTTTTTGCAACTTATATAATATTAACACAGCAAAGAGAAGCACACATCTCTGTTTATTCTAGAAAATAAGAAAGCTCTCTAAGCATATGGTTTCATGGCATAAGGACAAAGGAGGCAATGTGAAGGGTCCCTCACTGACCTAAGATGAGACAATTTGAGCTCAAAAAAAGATTTATATGGTAGTATATGAAATTCCATGAAAAACAAAAAGGTGAGAAAAATGTAACTTATATTTTTTCTTTGCTGGGGCCACACCATCATTATGACAATTGACAAAAGTATCAAGCTTTTACCTTTCCTTTCCTGATAGGCTAGGTTTTTTTCCCCCTCTTTTTTGAGACAGTGTCTTGCTCTTGTTGCCAGGCTAGGGTGCCATGGCAGATCCTATTTCCTCAGCCTTTCATATAGCAGAGACTGTAGGCACACATGCCATGCCTGGCTATTTAAAAAAAAAAAAAAATTTGTAGAGACAGAATCTTGCTATGTTGCTCAGGTTGTTCTTGAACTCCTGGCCTCAGGTGATCCTCCTGCCTCAGCCTCTGTGAGGGTTAGCATTACAGATCCAAGCCACTGTATCTGGCCCTGGACAGTCTAGTTTTTAATGTAATGAAGATCTCTTATGAAAATGCAACTCTTAATAGAATAATAAGAACTAATACATGCAGAGGATATAATAGAGTTAGAAAGCTGCTTTTCGGCAACCCTCAGCAAAATAAGTGAAATTAGAAAAATACTAATCAATATATGGTAAATAAATGAAAGAAACAGGCAGACATTTCTTGGAACCATTGACCCATCAACCTTAATATAAATAAAAGTGAAAAGACAAGATGTGTATTCAAATGTGCCTTCTGAATCCAAATGTGCTGGACGTCTAAAATAAAGAGTAACTTTGAAAGATTTAATACCAAAAAAACCCCACAAAACTTCATTATTATTTTGATCACAAATAGAAACAATATTTTGGATATATTAAGTTAAATAAATTATTACAATCAATTCCATGTATTTCTTTGTTTTTCCTTTTATGTTGCTACTAGAAACTTTAAAATGACAGACGTGGCTCATATTTTATAGTAGGCATTGCCACCTGAGGGGATTACCTCCGTTTTTAAAACTCAGGCTGCCTCTTCAAAAGTCCAGAGGCCATGAGGTTAGAAAATCTGAAATTTAAAAATAATTTTCTATTGTTTTCAATTTCAAGTATTATATATATTAGCCATATATGGATCTAACTTTATATACAACCTTAGGTGCCAATGTCTTCTAGGAAGTGCCACGTCCCAGTGCAGAGGCGACGCCCTGATGCAGCCATGAGCATGCGGGATCCATCACCTATCACTCAGGGCCCCAAGGGGTGGGGCTTGAGGCCCTATCCAATCAGGGGCATAGCTGTGGGAACAGTCCAATCAGGTGCACAGCAGGAGAGGCGGGTCTCCGGTGATCTCCGGGGACTTTGGGTTCGGCGCCAATCTCATTGCTACTTTTGTGTTCCCTTCTCAGCCGCCATTGCTGAGTCTGGGAGGACTGGGTGGCTCTGCCACGGCCTTTGTCCTGCTGCGACCTGCAGGTACTGGAAGATCTGTGTGTAGGATGGCAGGACACGCCGGAAGCCAGGAGCTGGTGAGTATGCAGGCCGCGTGTTTTGAGGGGGCGAGGGTAGTTGGAACCCACTGGAAGTGGCTGTGGCGGACCCAGGCCTCCCCGCAGTCAGCTGCGTTGTCTGCGGATCCGAGTCCCCAAAGGTCCAACTTGGCCTTCAGTCCCCTTCAGTCGCAGAGTAGAGCCTGGGCATCCTGTGGTATCCTCAGAGCCATATTTGGCACGGCCAGAGCCCTGTCTGGCCGCTGGGAGCCCGCAGCCCTGGTCTTCCCCAGATGGCGCTGTGAGGACGGGTGGGTGGGTCGTCAGGGGAGGAATCTCGCTCTGTGTGTGGGACTCGTGCGTGGGAGCAGCTCAGTGGTCCGTGGGGTCCCCAGTCCTCTCTCCTGTTAAAACATTAAAGAGTTTATTAGCGCAAACAGCAAGTTATGAATCCGGAAGCACCCAGTCCTGGTTTGTGGTTTGGAGTCCACCGGAGGGTCTTGAAAGAAAGACTTTAAAAGGTGTATGAAGAAGCTAACTTAATTCAATAGTTGACTGGTTATAGTTTAGTATTCCCTTTTTTTTGGACTGTCGTGGTGGCTATTTTCTGGTTATGTGATTAGAGGTTAATTGGTGCTTTGTTGTTTTTTAGGCCTAAATTTTGCTCCTATGTTAATAATTCACACAAAATATTTGGGTTATATTTCTGTATTAGGTAGGAACCCAAGGCACTAGAGTCACTTGACTCTAATTGCCTCTTATTCACTTATTTTAACATTTCACAGAGAGACTGATTTTCCTGTACATTTTCCAAGTGTATTTTCCAAGTTATTCTTCCATAGAATAGTGATTTTCTTTAAAAAAATTGTTCTGCTGAAAATTTCTTGAGAGGAAATCTGAATATTCACTTGACACCACATTGTAAAATATCTTTGTGCCTCTCCTCCTTTTATCTTTTCTAGTCACAGACATCTTATCAGAAGGTCTTTAGGTTGAGTTTCTTGTTTGGTGATTTTACAGGGTGATGTGTCCTCAGGCACCCTCCTGTCTTTTTCTGGTCATGAATTTGCCCACAGCAGCCATGTATCCTGGAGTGTCTAGTGAATATCAACCCCTCGTCATCTCCTTGCACAGGACAGCCTGAGGTATGGGGCTGGAGCCTCTGGGGAGCAGGAGTCTTCTAGTGTACCTCTCATCTAAAAAGCTAGCCCCTTGAGACATCAAGATTTTCTTCCCCCAACCCGTTTCCATTTCTTGGGGACACATTGGTGGCCAACCAATCAGTTGTTGGTTTTGAGGGCAAAGGACAGAAAGGACTCCATTTCTCTTGATCTTCTCACACTTGTAAGGAGAGAAAAACCATCCCCTGGGACAGAGAAAACCCTCCCCAGCGAGGTGGTACAAGAACCTACAAAGCAATTTGCACTTCAGACACACAGTGGGGGTGCAGGAATAGTGTGGTGGTTCCTGGGAGGGTGGTCTTTGAGCATTATAGTGAGCAGAATAAGGTGGGAGTATGTCCCAAGTGATAGGATGACCTTGAGTCAGACATATCTGTGTTTCTGTCACCAATGCTCCTCCTTGGGTTTGTCACCTTGGAAAGATTTGTTTATTCATTTCAACTTCAATTTTTATCTTAACAGTAAAATGAACTTTAGCAGTAGAGTTTAAAAGATAAGAAAATATTATGAAAGAGGTATATTTCAGGAAAAAACTAGTCATTTATTGCATTTGTTAAAAATTATTGTTTCACTGTTTTCTTGCCTAGAGTGAGTATAGTAAGTTTCTGAGGTCTGGTTTTGTTTTGTTTGTTTGTTTATTTTTTGAGACTGAGTTTTAATTTTTTACAAACCCTGGAGAATACAGTGGCATGATCATAGCTCAGTGCAGCCTCCAATGCCTGGGCTCAAGGAATCATCCTGCCTCAGCCTCCTGAGTGACTATAACTACAAGCATGTGCCACCAAGTTGGCTATTTTTTAATTTTTTTTTTTTTTTTGGTAGAGACAGGCCTCACTACATTCCCAAGCTTGTCTCAAATTCCTGGCCTCAACCAGTTCTCTCACTTTGGGGTCCCTAAGTGCTAGGATTACAGGTATCTCTTATTTGAAGACACCTGTTTTTTTGTGTGTGTTTTTTTTTTTTTTGAGACAGAGTCTCGCTTTGTTGCCCAGGCTAGAGTGAGTGCTGTGGCGTCAGCCTAGCTCACAGCAACCTCAATCTCCTGGGCTCAAGCGATCCTTCTGCCTCAGCCTCCCGAGTAGCTGGGACTACAGGCAGGTGCCACCATGCCCGGCTAATTTTTTCTATATATAAGTTGGCCAATTAATTTCTTTCTATTTATAGTAGAGATGGGGTCTCACTCTTGCTCAGGCTGGTTTTGAACTCCTGACCTCGAGCAATCCGCCCGCCTCGGCCTCCCAGAGTGCTAGGATTACAGGTGTGAGCCACCTGGCCTGGCCTGAAGACACCTCTTATTTGGAGGTAATTTTCAATATAATTTCAGGACTTAGCTTTGGGAATGGTATTGAGGGAAGGAAATAGAAAAAAAAAGCTCTTCCTTTTGATTGCAGAAAAATGAATACATTTGCACAAGAAAGTATGGTAGAAAAATTTATGAATTACAAAGATTTATCAAAACATTAGTTTTCTCTTGTGCAGGTGGAGAATTTGTGACAGTGGATAACTCTATTCTGTTCTGACTTCATTTCCTCTTCTAAAAAAAAAAAAAAAAGGATAACTCTATTCTGTATCCTGCTATCTAGATATTGGAGTTTAATGGTAAATCCTGTGAGGTTGGATTTGGGAATTGCAAAAAGTGTTCACATATGATTATTTACCAAATATTTTGTTACCGTGGAAATAAATGACCTGCTTATTTTCTCAAAGGGCTAGATACTTTTGATTTTCTCATTATGGTATAAAATTTAAATCCCTTGTAATTTCTGTGATATTATGATGGATATATTTTGGTTTTTGTCCATGATTTCTGGCTTTCAGCTCCTGTAAGCCTTGTTATTTGCTAAGTGACTAGAGCAATATCTTTTCTTAAAATATTTGGTCTTTTGTTCTTGGTTCCTGAAGTAAGTAGTTCCTGAAAGGTAAAGGTGAGATACAGTCTTTTGTTATTTACTGTAAGCCTTTGAAACACACCTGAGCTTATGTGAATGAAATGGATTTTGCAAAGACCCAAGAAACCACCTGAGGGGAGGCTGGTTGCCAGGGGAACAAGCCAAGTGCTTAGAGAAATGGAATATTTATTTTCACTCCTAACCCTCTTGTAAGGGAAGAGAAGCTAAAGATTAAGTTGATGGAAAATGGCCTATGGTTAATTAATTATGCCTATGAAATAAAGCTTCCATAAAAAATAAAAGGACAGCGTTTGGAGAGCTTTCAGATAGCTTAACCACATGGTGGTTTCTGGAATGTGGTGAGGGCTTGAAATCTCTGCATCCCTTCTTCACCCATACCTTATGTATCTCCTCATCTGGCTATTTATTTATATCTTTAAAGATATTCTTTATAATTAACCATTAAATATAAGTTTCCCTCAGTTTTGTGAGTTGGTCTAGCAAATTAATTAAGTCTACAGAGGGGGTCATGGAACTCTTACCTACACCTGTTTGATCAGAAGTTTTGTAGGTCAGGACATGCAACTAGTGTCCAAACGGGGGACCAATCTTGTGGGACTGAGTCCTCAACTGTGTGATTTTATGCTATCTCCAGGTAGATAGTGTCAGAATTGAACTGTATTTGAAGATATTTAGCTGGTGTCTCCTGCAAAATTGATTGCTTGTTTATTGGTAGAGAAAAATTTGCACACATTTGGTCACACAAGTCTTCTCTGTTTTTTGTTGTTGTGTGGGAGCAGAGGAAAAACACGTGTTGAGATTTTTCTTTTCAGAATGTCCTTCTCTTCTACAAATATAAACACTGAGTTTAAGTGATTTTGCTTGACTCTTGAAGCACTGGGTATTTTCTCATTTACAATTATATGAATATCCCTGATTGAGAAGCCCAGTGACTCCAAGCCAAGACCAATCTTCAGCTTGCAAAAGGTCATTGATGTTCTAGTTCTTTGAGTTTTTTTTCCTGGCGAGTCACCCTGGGAGATGTCCAGACTGCTCACACCATCATGGAAAAAGACCTTTATATGAAGAAAAGCTACAGGTCACTGGAAATCTGGTTCAACATGAAGGTTTATTTGGGTTTGTGATGGAAGGAGTGTGTGATGCCCCATAGAGACTGCAATTGTTATTACCCTTGGCTGTTTTCAGACATTTACAAATAAAGCAAATTCAGATTTAGGTCAGAAGTGACTTTATTGTAAAGGAGTATTTGAATAGGGGAAAACACTGTCTAACTATAAGATCTACAAACATCTTAAAGGTTAGGCAGAAGAGGGCTTTCTTTCATAGGCCAGAGTAAATAAGATTAGAAGACAGGTAGGAGGAGGATAGGATGTAGGGTGGCAAAGTTACATGGTGCATCAGAAAATTATTTATCCTGAAATCAGACTGTTCTTAGGAGGGACACAGAGAGGGGTTGTGTGCTGGCTAAGGCTGAGGGAGCATCAAAGTTCCGGGGCCTGGCAGAAGAAGAGTAACTTAAGCTATGTTTGGTTAACATGTATTCTGTTCAGACCAGTAAAAACAGAATTGTTCATCTAATTGTTTATGAGGCAGAAATGGGAATTTGTGGAATCTGTGTCTGGCTTTGTGATAGGTGTATGAGGGAGCACCATCTAAGTCATAGAGGGAATAGTGTTTCTTTGCAATGAACTGCTCTGGATGAACAAAAAGAATGGTTTTTTTTTAAATCACCGCTGTGTTTACCAGGATTACCTTCCAGCCCCATCTTACTCCACCGCTTTGCCTTGCCCCACACATCCCTTCTATTTGGACATTCCTAAGTATAGCAATTTTAATAAACTGATAAGTGTAATTCAAATGTTTTACTGAGTTCCATGAGTAGTTATATCAAATTTTGAAATTGAAAAGGGGGTTATGGGAACCCCTGATTTATAAGCAGTTGTTCAAA